GGGGGGGGGGAGAAAAACTATGGTCGTGTTCAGAAAATGGAAATTTGATACGCAGGAAAACAAGAGTGTACAGAGAAGGCAGCACGCTGACGGTACAAACATGGGGAACAGATAAACAGAATCTAATGGACAAGTAACTGTATGATTCGCAGCAACTGGATCACAGGATGAGCTCATACACCGCGTGCGTCCTGGTGTGTTTCTCAAATGGCAAAGCACAAGACATTTGGGAACTTGCGGGAAGCTTGTTAGCTATTTTCAATCTGCATATGTGAAACTGTACTGTACAGTGTTTTAGCAGCAGATTCATGACAAACGAGAGTGCTGTGAATGATATTGAAATTGGAACAGAACTGAAAATTAAAGGAATAAAAAAAAACATGGATTAGGGAATTGAGTAGCGTATAGTTGTACATGCCGATGACAGGGTCCGCACCACTCATTGAGTACGAAGCTGCAGCAGAACTGAATGTCCTTTTGCAAGACAGAGCTGCTTGCCACAGTTACGTGATCTACCATGTATATCCGCGTTCGCCAGCAGACGATGTGATGCACGTGCTGAACATGTCGATGACACCAGGCTGAGGGTAGCCTGTAGTTCTAGCTGTAAAGAAAGCAAGAAAGTATTCATGCAGCAAGACAAAAGTCACAATATCAAAAGTGGATTTGTCTTGGCTCTTCATGTGCAGAGCAACCAATGAGCACTAATAGTGGTGTAGAAGAAAGCAGGTCCCAACTCCGTCAATTCCATTCTTGAGCTGGCATAGGTATGGCATACAATGCCCATGCCACTATTTATTTAGTGTCAATTGAAGTCGGCAGGAAATAGCTACTGGCTTTCAACGTCTGTTTAGCACAACTGCATGAGCGACTCTGACTCGCGCTGCTACCTGGGGCCTCACGAGGTGTTTGTTGCATTGGAAACGAGCGTCTCTGTAAGTTTGTATCCCTGGTGATGGTTTGGCCTGGATGGCGCTATATAAGTGGTGCTTTTCAGGCACAATCTTCCTCAGCCTACTCAAGCTCAACTGATGAGGGGTGAATTCCCCGAAACACTGTGTATTGAGCAGGGAGTGGTGCTTTCTTGCAGGTTTGCCGAGTGGAAGGTACGGCATGCTCCTCGTGTGCTCCGGATGGCAGTCGTGAGTCAGTCAAGTGTCAAGTTCAGCAGGAAGTGTGTGTTCCTCGTTGGAACAACGAACTTCATTTTTAAGATAAGGATGGTTTTATTAAGGCTGCGATTACACGACAACGCACGGCCTGTTTTCCGTTTTCAGTCCCGCATTTCTTTTTCGTTTTGTGCGTTTACACGATCAAAGCTGATCCGGGGTGGTCTCCGTTTGTATTGTTTTCGCGCGTCTACACGGGAGCAAATGATCCGCCAAAGTTAGTCATGTGCCAAGTGTTGTCGTGGAAGCCCCAATCACACTCAAGTAATATTTGAAAACAGGCCACACGACAACACACGTCACATGACGAACGTTATAAAAACAGATTAAACTCGGATGGAGAGCCAAGGATTAAAATTAAAAAAAGAGAGGGCCAAAAGTTTACAAGTTACTGTACTCGCGCGATTAGTGCCCCTGGGGCACTGTTCAAGAGAGGGCTTTATTTTCACTGGCTCTTGGAGACTAGGGCACTATTCGAGATAGGGCACTATTCAAGAGAGGGCTCTAATCGCGCGAGTACGGTATCCGTTTTGTCCTACACTAACGATTATAAGCAGGATAATGATGAGTCGAAATGTGCAGCAATTACAGTCCGTTTCAAAAAGATTTGCAATCCTGGCGATCGCCCGCGGAGTTTGGCGTCTTGCCGTATGAGCACTCGAGCGCTGCCTGGAAAAACTCACTGCGAACTCGAAGAAATATTCCGCGCGAAAGCATGACAAATGACAACTCACTCACGTTGATACAGTCATGTACAGTCAACTTTGCGAATAACGACATTCGGCGGGCATCAGAAAAGTGTCCTTATTCGCGAAGTGTCCTTATATCCGAAGTCCCATTTAAATGTATGTGAAGCCATATTTTGTATAGTATGACATGCATATCAAAATGAAGCTCTGTTCATGCTCTATGCCAATGTGTACTTTGTTTTCATATTACAATAGAAAGGAACTGTAAAGTCAATATGCAAGGGAAATAGATTGAAAAATTAGCCTTTTGGAGCCATCTACAGGGACATGTACCGGTATGATGATTACTGTACAATCATGTACAACTACATGTACAATGTAGTTGTGCTGATCACTCCAACTATTTTGAATAAAAAATGAAAATAAAAGCACCCCCCCCCCCCCCCCCCCTTGGCTGCATCTTGTACCGGTATGATGATTACTGTACAATCATGTACAACTACATGTACATGTAGTTGTGCTGATCACTCCAACTATTTTGAATAAAAAATGAAAATAAAAGCACCCCCCCTTGGCTGCATCTTCTTGCATGTGTGCCTTTATCCATCGACATGGGTTCTGACACTTCTGCATGACAGGTACTTGAAATAGCTGTCAAAAACCCAGAAAGTTGTTATTCAAGCAGTGAATATGACCTCGGAGCACTAAAAGCATGTCGCTATTCGCGAATTGTCATTATTCAGATAGTCGTTGTATCCGAAGTTAAATGTATACAGTTAGATGGGACTTTGCTCTGGGCATGGAAACTCTGTCGTTATTCGCGAATTGTCGTTACTGTAAATATACAAATTTTCGGCAGCTATTTAATTTCGGCTATATTCGGCACCGACCCAAAACGCCTAAATTAAAACGCCGATGAAATTTTTCACAGCATCTGTCGCACTATACCATGCCCTGTAGGCCTGTACCCCACGCCGAAAATAAATCGCCACCGAATTGTCAAAAATCGTGAAGTGCCGAAATTTTGCAGTGCCGAAATTTAGTATATTTACAGTATATCCGCAGTCGTTATAAGCGAAGTTGACTGTACGTCTGGTTTACAACAAACGAGTTCTTCCTCGTATCGATAATGGAGTCAGAGAGGACATGTCGAAACGAAAGTGTTGTAAAAGTAGACGAGCGGCATGGGTCCCAATTCGTTTTATGACCAAAATAGTTTCTTTGAGCTGCGATGCAATTTACTCACCATGTGACGAAAACGACATCGACACGGACTCATTCCCAAGGCCATGACTTGGCAAAGCTATTCGTGTGACTTCGACGACATTTTGAGAAAAGCAGACGCTTGTGAACGCTGATAGAAGACGGCGTTGACTCCTAAATTCAAATAAATTGGCGATCTTGAAATACTAAAATAAATCTCAAAAAGCTACAGCGCGATGACTTTCATATTGGCACTCACACCATTTCAGTGTTGTGGGTGTGTTCACATGGCGTGAGCCAGTCAAGTGTCAGTCAGTTCGGCAGGAAGCGCGAGCTCCAACAAGTCGTTTGGTACAGCCCTCTTCTTTGTCTTGTACCAGCTTGATCACCAAAACAATGAAAACAAGTTTGACTTGAGGATAGGTTGGGATTTGAACTCACAACTTCATGGTCAGCAGACAGCATTCATAACCACAAGGCCAAAAAGGAAAGGATAAATCGTGGGTTTTGCCATAAAAGATCGCTACTGGCTTCCTGGGCAAAGTCGAAACCATTGGAAAAGGCCGGAAACCTGGCCGAAATTCTAACTCCTTAACGGCTGGTCCAATTGTTCCGAAACCTTCACAGAACAATTTGCCGTGTCCTAACAAGCCATTCTATGTACTTTGTTGTCCAAATTTCCCTTATCTTCATACTTTTTAAGACCCAAACCTGATTGCATTTCTGTTTGAAACAGACTATAGCACAAAACTGACTGACATGATACTGACATTCAACGACCTGATGCTTAGCTGCATCACGTCTGGAATACGCAAACCAGCAGCCTTCCAACTTGGGAGGTTCTAAGGTATGAAGTAACATAAGAAAAGGGAAGGTGAGCGCACTCTAGACGAAAACAAGCTTAACATCACAGCGGACTAAGAATGTTAGCTACGGCAAGATGATGACGAAGGACAAAGGACCACGGCGCAGGACGGACACGGCTCACTTCGAAAATTCGAAACAACGACCACACAACTTGGGAGGCTCATGTTATCAGAGATAAGCAAAAGAGGAGAAGTCACGCGATCACAAAGCAAGACAGACCAGACGGCACTATCTCCTCGTACTATACTACATGAGGAATGGAACTTGTGACGGACTAACAAACGGCATTCCCGTATGTCACGTGATTGTCGCCTTGGAGTTGACCAATGACAGATGAAACAGCGCGGGCTGGAAAGCGCGGTCCTGCCTGCTCAAAGGTGATGGACCTGAATCACTGCCCGTCGTCAAGTGACGACGGCAGGAACGGATTCCACTGCCAATGAACGCAGTGGATTCCGTTCCTGAATCCGTTCCTGCCCGTCGTCACTTGACGACGGGCAGGAACGGATTCAGGAACGGAATCCACTGCGTTCATTGGCTCGAACTTGGCGCGTGTTTCGTACATACAAGGACAACTGAAACGAAAGTGAAAGAGCGACTTGCGCAGCAAAAGATGATTTGATTTGAATCTTTTCACACAGCGGGCTTTTTCACCGAAGGTCGAAAATCGCTGCAACTGGGCCATATTATGTAGATCTACGACTCGTAGACTTCTGCCACTGGCCTGCCATTCAAGGCTGCTACCTTCCGCAAAGTAACAGTTCCGGCCACATTTGGTGGATGGATGGACTGCGTGTCGAAGAACACGGCAAATCTGCTGCAAAAGCAGAACGTCGCACGCCAATTCCGTGGTAACTGTCATTTGACATGGTAGAGAATGCTTTTTCAGCCCCCGTTCTGCCGAAATATGCTCGACCCCCCAAACAGGCATTTTCTGCCGAAAATTCTGCCGGCATTATCCGCCAAGCCCTAATGAGCTCCTCCGAAAAGTTGAGGGAGAGACTGAAACTTGTATTGCGGAGTCGCTCGCGAAGGAGATCTTGGACGAGCCGGATGAGCCTCAACCAAAGCGCGCAATGCTCAGCAACCTGCAGGATCCGCGCAATTTGCCGAGGTTTCCGATCAAGACGTGGGAAAAATCCGTAGGAACAGAACAGCCAGAATGCCCGATGCCCAGTCGACAATGTCAATGGCACCGCGAGAAAAAAAGCACTATGGTGCAGTATGGACTACTACCAAAAACCGTACCAGAAAACAATCACAAAACACAATGCAGGTGTGTCTGTCATGTATCTCTTTATTTGGCTTGGGTGCACACGGGAAACACGTTCCAGTCACTCATACTCGGCCAGTACCGCTGTTCATCCAGCCCTTGCCGCTATCGCGGCGCGGGCTGGATTCCGCGGTACTGCCCTCATACTCGTGCAGGAACCTGTACTTATCACATGTCACGTGGCTGTTTCCTTGGATCGGGCCAATCACTGATCTGTGTGAGCGGGATAAATCAATCCAACGCCCGCGTCCATAGCCCGTCGTCCGTGACAACCCTGACAGTGACACTGGACGCGTGAAATCTACGGGATTTGAACACGGTGACTGCGTACAGTGCAGTGTACATGTGAACGCGTGTTCGAAAGTCACGATCTCAGATTTCCTTTTTCTTTCCTTTCAAGTGTTGCTGCACACGAGGTTGACTTTCTCCTTTAGTTTTGATTCTTACAGGTTAGTATCTTCAGTAATGTTAGGCTGAAAGTGATAAATCCATTATGACATGGTTGGTCGGGCAATAATGAATTTCCAGTTCCCTCGGGCTCACTTGTCGGGCACTAAAAATCCATATTGCCCTCCCAACCATGCCATAATATAAACATAACAATCATCATCCTGTCATAGCTAACATTCTTAGTTCGCTGTGATGTTTAGCTTGTTTTCGTCTACAGTACGCTCACCTTCCCTTTTTCTTATGTTACTTCATAACTTAGAACCTTCCAAGTTGGAAGGCTGCTGGTTTGCGCATTCCAGACGTGATGCAGCTAAGCATCAGGTCGTTGAATGTCAGTATCACATCAGTCAGTTTTGTGCTAATTGTTGCACCATTTCGACTCATCATTATTCTGCTTATAATCGTTAGTGTTGGACAAAACGGATAACTTGTAAACTTTTGGTCCTCTCTTTTTTTAATTATAAAACAATTTTTTGATTATCGGATCCGTGTGAACGGGCGAAAACGAAACAAACGTGACGGAAACGAGGCCCAGCACACCGTTTCGACTGTAAACACACCCAAATTTATCCGGCAGAAATTTCCGTTTTCAAATTCTTCCACCTTGGCCAGTGTTTTGGTTTTCTTCTGTTTTGGTGTACAAATTTTACGTTTTGCTCTGCGTACCGTGTAAGCGAACCATGCATTCGAAAGGGGTTTGTTGCGTTTTCACCCCCAGCGTTGTCGTGAAAACGCGGCCTAAGAGTTCTCCCTGACGAAGACTGATGGAAGTATAACCACTCATTGCCGTAAAGTGTTTATGTTTTACTGAACACAATAAATCCTTACTTGGTCCGCGTCAGCGATATTGTCGCCTATCTTTCGACAATTTGAACTTAGACTTTAGACATCAACGAGTGCACTTGAGACGATAAAACTTGGTATGATGGAAGGTAAGGTACAGAATGACAACTGGCCATGAGGAATTTATTGTCCAAGGAAGGGTTCATACATTTTTGGTCCTCCTCATCGCTGCTCTCGGCGCTGGTGACAAAGTAAATAATTTTTGCTGAGGATCGATACTCTCGCTTTCGCAAGCTCATCTATCTTCCTCTCCGCTGCCTGGCTTGTTTCTAAAGGGAAGTCGACCGTGATGATCGCCTTCTTTATAGGACTTCGCGTGGACTGCATGCGTGGTTTAAATCAGTCGCCGTTCTTTGCAAGATTTATTTTGAACGACGATGACTCGTACCAGCAGTACTTGCAAATCTCCACGATTCGCTGGATACTCTGAGCGTTGAGCTGGAGGTGAGGGAACAGGGCTTGAAAGTGATGACGTCAAAACGGCCAGGGAGTAGTAAGTTGACATCAGATTTCTATTTTTGGATCCACTAAGGTGTGACTTTGCTATTGCCTAAGTATGTGGGTGCATAGCAACCCACTCATGTCGCATGCAGGTGTGACTTTTATTTCGCCACCAGTTGTAACCCCGCCCCCAGTAGCCAAATCAGTCAGTTTCACTGGCTACATCACCATGCTGTGGGTAAGACCGCTTGAAATGTGCTTGGATCCATACAAAAACTGGATCCAAGTGGATCCAGGTTTTGAATTTTTGAAATTGTTGCTATGCTGTGACGTAGCACTTTCAAGCCCTACTGCGATCTCAGCTTGGCGAGTGATCCCTGATGTGAGTGATCTCGGCCGTTTTGTAAAATGCCGGGAACTGATTCCGAGTAGCCGATTATTTTCTGGTACGTCGCGCTGCTGTTGCCTGCGCAGTGTGAAAAGATAATCTATTTTGATGCGGTGCTGTATCAATCAGAATCACCAACCCGTCGCTCTCGAAATCTAGCTAGACCTTTCAGGTACTCGTAAACTAACCAACTAACCAAAATTGGGATAAAATGGGCTGCCAAGTGAGCATTGGCGACATAATAACAAAGCTGAAAGATAAGCGACAATATTGCTGACGCGGACCAAGTAGAATATTAAAAAAAGAAAAAACAGAAAGTCATGAAGTTGGAGGAAGTATACACAATACAGCTAAAGCGGTAGTTCACCCTAAAATGAAAAATTCAACATTCCTCCCTTGCACTGATTCCAATGGTGAAGGTCCCAGGTTGGTCGGATCAGCCGCTCCAGAGTCACGTATACCAGCTTGAAGTTTGCACTAAATTTGGTGACATTATGATGACGTCATTAACTTGCCCAGACTACAGTCCATTCAGAAATAAATGAACTTCTAGCTTTTGGCCATAAATGGGTCAAACGTTGAGTTTTTTTAGAATTTTTTTCTGCAATCCCATATGGAATCCTCTTCCAATTATGTTTCTGAAGTTTTTTTGTCCAAAAAGCAAGCCATAGCAAGAATAGGATTTCGGCCAGGTTTTGCCCCAAAAGCACTGAATTGGGAAAAACCATCAAAATCCAGGCCGTTTGACCCCGCCTGCAACAGTGCATTCTGCGGTTCGAACCCCAGTTCAGGCACCCTTTTTGGACCCTTTTTCAAATTTCAAAGTTCGCAGCACTGCACTGTGTACGATGAAATCACGAAAAATCGCCAAATACGGGAGCTCGCCAGAGCCAGGACCCATCTTTTTATGAATGGACTGTAGGCTGGATTTATGACGTCAGAGAGATAGACTTTGTATGGGAGTTGACGGGGAAAAACCAATTTCTTTCTTGTTTCTCTGCAACAATGAATTTCATACTAGAATTTTTTCCTGTCGGGATACCGGTAGGGTGCCTTATGTCTCATACCGACGTTTGAAAAAGATGCGACTTCTTTGGGACAATGGAGAGCCAAAATACTGAAATTTCCCCATCTACTCCCATACAAAGTCTATCTCTCTGACGTCATAAATCCGGCCTAGTCTGGGCAAGTTAATGACGTCATCATGGTGTCACCAAATTTAGTGCAAACTTTAGGCCGATTCCACACTACACCAAATCCTGCCTAAAAAGCCATTTTCAGGCACTTTTCAGGCAAGTTGCCATGGCGATCACTTTGAGGAACGCGCGAAAGTGAAAAGTGCTTGTTGTCTACAAAGCAACACCAGCACCCTCTTTCAAGGCAACTTTTTACCTTTTCAGGACACTTTTCTGACTTTTCTTCAGCCTTTCGATTTTTTCCGAATGTGTTCCCTGTCGTATCTTTCAGTTGTGGTGAGTTGTGGGCTGTCAACAATGCCTAGGGTCATGTTTAGCCAGGAGCTTGAGGGCAAGCTGATCGAGCTTTGGAGCGGACATTTGAGGCGACCTCCGGGCGGTACAGTTCGCAGGAGCTACGCCGGAGGAGATCGCCATCAAGCTGAATTTGTTTGCTGAACAGCTCCGGGAGGAGGCAATCTATACTGCGTCGATCGTCCATTCCAAAATTGACAACATGAAAACGAAGGCGAAAGGACTGTACGAGACATACACAACGAAAACTGCCACCGGACTGGAATGCCTGTTGGCGAGGTTGACAAATATTCGACCTAGGATCTGGAATCCGCCTACACAGCGCGCGCTAGCGTGGTCAAATTTCAAGATTGGGCACGTGAAAATGGGTGATATTCGAGGATTTGGACCAACAAAGAGCCTCTCCACTACCGCCGTTGCTACATCAAGCACAGGAAAGCCTCACAGTCTAACCTTCAAAGCAAAGTCCCGTGATCGACACTTGTAGGTGTGAATGCAGCTTCACTTTATAAGCCACTTTATGCCTTCAAGGCAAAGCCACTTTCGGCGTAGTGTGGAATCGGCCTTAGGCCGGTATAACTCGGGAACGGCTGCTCCGACCAACCTGGGACCTTCATCATTGGAATCAGTGCATTTTTCGGTACGGGTTATGAAATTTTCATTTTAGCGTGAACTTCCCCTTAAACACAGTGTTTAGCTTACGGGAACTTCATCAGATCGCCTTCTCCACTACTGCCACCATCTGGTGTTTGATCGCCAGCATCACCACTGTCATTGCTAACTCGACTGTCTCCACCTTGTCCATCTCCTCCACCTTGGGCACTAACAGATGCGCTGCTTTTCTTGCCACCATTTTCAACACTACTTTCGACTTCGCGGAATGGTGGCGGATCTGGTTTGCGAGGACCAAAGTCTTGATCGTTGAAGAATGACTTGTGATATGTTTCAAAAGCGGGCCATGCAGAGTATGCCTCCTAGAAAACACATACAAAGAACAGTAGGCAAGACATGGTGGATCACAGACCACAGAGTGAGGAAGAGAATGAGAGAGAAAGGGGGAGCCGGGGAGAGGAGAGTGAGAGAGAGAGACGCAGACGGAGACAGAGACAGAGACAGAGAGAGAGAGAGAGTGGCACCCACCGGCACCAGGGTTCTAGCCAAAGGAGGTCAGGGGGGGGGGGGCAGCCCCCCCCATGAAAATGTGGCGCCCCCAACTCATTTGTCAATTATCGTGTTTTTCAGGCAATTCACCAAAAATGCAGTCGTTAGTCACTGCCAGAGGGTTCTTTTAAAAGTCACTTGTCAGGGATGAAGTCGGGGGTTTGCCCCGTATGTTGCATTTTGCATGGCATTACAACTTTGGAAAATGGATAATGGACTACAGGTTAACTGTTTCCCCTATCCCCCCGCCTCCCCCTCCCCCTCCCCCTCCCCCTCCCCCTCCCCTACTATTATTATTCGTGACCTGGCTAGAAGCCTGCACACTAGGTATACGACATGTATGCGTCCGTCGCAAGAGAAGCACCCAAATCTGCAAATGCACTGGATGTGCACCCATAGATTTTCTCTTATAGTAACGATAGCGGATCTGAATGTGAATGAAACAGATCAAGACTAGCGCCAGATAACTGTCTAATCCACACAGCTGGCAAAGCCATGTGAATCCCCCCATGCACACCTGGTCTACACCACACGGAGCACATCGGAATAGGACGGCCAAGACAGTTACCTATGCACGCCCTACACTTGCTGGGGAAACCAGTATGGACAGCAAACTGCTTTGATATAAGCAGACACTAGATGCACTGGTACCTTGAGCTGAAATTTGAGTTACTTTTCCAACCAGCCTCACCAACTGAGTACTGGGAACCCGGGGTCAACAGACATACCAACCAGCCATGAAAGCTATAGTAGTAACGACACACTGGATTGTGGAGCCGAAACTAGTCCAACTTGCTTCGGCAAGAAGGTAGCCTCCCAACAGATTGGCAGAATGTGCAACTGAGAATTTTGTATTCCAACTACGGTAGTTTCGACGACCTGCCTCCAAATTTGAGTCGATTGCAGCAGATCTGCATGCATTTTCTTTGCGTGTGCCAAAATCACGAGTTTATAATCCCCGGGTTATATACACATGCCGCAACATAGGGTTCCTCATCTCCATGTAGAACTCTGGTCCCCAAATTAAAAAAAGTCCAAAGCCAAAGGCTCAAACGCAGAAACCTATTCTTTACATGATTTTTCTGCATTTCGTGTGAAGCAGAACCTCTGTAATTCCTTGGTGAATCACACGGAAATGTAGCAAATCTCTGTAATTCCTTGTCGGATCACACGGAAATGTAGCAAATCTCTGTATTTCCTGGGTGAATCACACGGAAATGTAGCAAATCTCTGTAATTCCTTGGTGAATCACACGGAAAATGTAGCAAACGCCATTTGTGAGAAAGCTAGACGCTTTCTTAGAAGCTGAGCATGAAATCGAAAGCAGCTTGGTTGTAGTGAGAAATAGAGAGACTTCACAGTAGCAAGTTGTAGTTGGATTAGCTGTCATATGGAGCAGGCTGCACAGGTGGGACACACACTAACTTGAGGAGATTCAATGCAACATGGCTGAGGCTCGGCGAAGTGGAACGTGCCTGCAAAGGTACATGTTGCTTGGAAAGTAAAGTCAAAATGTAAGGAAAGGACACTGCTTATCCGCGGAACGCGATATGATTGTAATTTTTTTGTTATATCTGAGGGTTTGTAACCTTGGCTTGCCGTATCCGAGTTTTGCTGCAATAAATGTTCAACCGTTGTCAGTAATGTCGAGCACACACTGCATTGCCATGGTGATCTGCCGGCGTCACGTGGTCTGTAAAGGTCACACATACAGTATTTCTAGAAAGCAGCTCCGGTCTTTTATTATCGCCCGTCTGAAATATGCGCCACATCATTTCAGAGCTTTTGTGCGGATTTTTTTTAAATTGGGTGAAGTTTTCGGGCTTGCAAACTACCAAGCGCCTCGGCCAATATTGCCAAAAATACGGTATTCGCAGCCCAGTGGGGCAGGAGCAGCAGACGTACCCGCAGTTTACCCATGATCAGTGGTTTCACTCCCATTTTATCCCTTGTGTGGACTTGAATCCCCAGGGCAGACGTACTAAAAAACCATCATGTTTTCTTACTTGCAAGTGCGCCTCTAAATGATCTGCATGCCGTGGTCGTTTCCAAACATTGTCATAGATTGTCATGGCTTTCTGACGCAACTTGGATACTTCCTGCTTCAATTTTGTTTCAAGACGAAGCTGATCGCCTGCTTTAGGTTTGCCGTTTTTGTTGATAAGTCTCCAAGCCATGGTTCTGTACATGCTTTCATTTGACATTGATTGGCTGTAATCGTCCATCCTCACTTTGCTCAGAAGTTGGAGAATCTGAAGCATGAAGCACACGTGGGGTATAATATACACACCTGTTTAGCATACGTGTAGTATAGCAACTCGGTGTTGGGCCAGCAACCGCACCTCAAATTGCGCTATGCGTACATTTTAGTACCAAGAGTAGATACCGGCAAGCTACATAAGTTCCCAGGGAGCTTATGTAGCTATCCCTGACCATTGCTAAATAGACCGCCTATACAACCCGATCCCTGGTCACCACGAACACAACGTGACAAGTTAGTTCCATCAATGTTGCAATCTGCGGGGGAAACTCAACAACGGACAGTGACATACCATGGGTGTATGGAATTCGAAACTTGTGTGTGACTGCTGTACATTACTTGGTAGTGTAGTGGTCTTCCAGGATGGCTGTAATCTTTGCATATTTCAATTCTCCTAGCGTTTTGGGTAAACGAAAAGTCTTAGAGTGGAGTAGGTAGCATTTGAAGTCCGCGAGATTAGGTAAGCAGTTGCTCAATTCTCTGAGTGGTTCCCCTCCACAGCGGTACATGGTACTCATCAAAGTCTAAGCTTTAGCCATGGCGTAAATAGCAGAACAGTTACTCGAGTACAGTCAACTTCGCTAATAACGACTTCGGATATAACGACAATTCGCGAATAACGACAGCATTTCCATGCCCAGAGCAAAGTCCCTTCCAACTGTAATACATATAATAAGACTTCGGATATAACGACACTTCGCGAATAAGGACACTTTTTTGATGCCCCGCCGAATGTCGTTATAAGCGAAGTTGACTGTACAGATAAGAAGTTGAGCGGATTCTACAGCGTGTTCGTCGACATTGTTGGGTATCCACACTAACAAATTCGCTTGACCAAAAACAAAGACCCTGCCGTTCTTATGAGTGTGAAATACGAGAGAGAAGAAATCGAGTTGTCGCAGTATTACTACACGAGCATGGCATTGACATAGGGGTGTCCTACTCAACTCAAACGTCTTATGTAAATCATAGTACCGGTACCTTTTTTTGCAAAGACTCCCAGCCCATGACATAGACTAGTGAGAGTTAGTGACTACACATGTAACCACAGCTTGTGCCATTGCTTTTACTTCCTCCGTATACAAAAACTTCGTGACTTTTTTTTGAAGGCTGGGCACAGCTCTGGAATTGTTCCGTTTGACTTGAAATAACACTCGTGGCATTGTCTAACCTGTTTACAAGCTATACACAAAGAAAAAAGCAACTCAGACGAATGTGATTGAGTTTATTCAGAGTCCTCGTCGCTCCTGTCATTGTCGCCTGACGACGCTGACTCCGCATCGCCAACAGTCGCTGCTTCCGCTCCTATTTCGTTCAGATTCTTTTTAGCTGCAGTGATGATCCGACGCGGAACTTTGGCTACCTCCTCTTCATCTCCAGAGCTGTGCACGAATCGGTGTCGACTATATTCAGTCGTTCCAACCCGCGACCTCCATTATGCCGGGAAACGAGTCGCTCAAGCACATCCACACGCTTCGCATTTTCTCGGCAGGATAATCCTCCCAGAATTCTACAACGGCTTTGAGGAGGTCCCTGCGATTCCCCTAGACGACGACGGAGACGTCTGACTGGAGAGAGGCGAAGAAAGCCAGGTCGTCGACCTTCCGAACCGGAGTCAGCGCTGATTGCACGACGACTGAAATGTTTCATCTTGCCGTGCGAGCAGAACCGATTTATGTTCTCACGTTGCATATGGGGCCGCGCACCGCAAGTACAAACCTGGCCAGTTTCATGGCAGCGAGTGCTGCGTGACTCCGTGTTCCAGCCGCGAGCTCGACTTCGTCACGATCACGGTGTCAGTTTCGAAAAAGTAAGTGTTAGTTTTTTTTCATTTGACTCGTGAGTTCCTGTCGGCAACGTCCTCACACGCATGGCTTCCGTGGAGAATCTGTTCAGGATCAACCAAATCTACTGCAACATGAATGTGGGTTGTCGATGACAGCCTTTGGCGCGGTTCGTTGAGCAGGTTCTTGCTCAAAAACACAGTTGAAAAAAAGTCACGAAGTTTTTGTATACGGAGGAAGTACCACTTTGCCTCGCTTTCCTGTAAGGCTACCTGTTTCCCCACCAGTTCAAGCAGCCCGGTGATCGTAAAAAAACATCAGCGTTGCAACAGTATTCCTTTTCTCGTGTTTGTGTGTGTGTGTGTGTGTGTGTGTGTGTGTGCGTGCGTGTGCGTGCGTGCGTGTGTGCGTGACACACGAAAGATTACAAGTATACTGCTGAAGTATATGTTGGGATTGGGTTCGTTATCCTCCTCACAACTGAGCTCTTGGACGAAGACACTTCCCATCTTCATGGCTAATGAATCACTCTGGATGTACTTTGTATTTTATTCCCGTAGCTATGCAGAAGACGTTACTTCAGTAACGTCTGGCGCTAGCCAGGGTCCACACAGCTTTAATTTGGTATTTGTGTGTTTGTTTGTGTGTTTGTGTCACGCCTGGCGTTATCCCGTACCTGTCCCGTACCGTACCGTACCATCAAACACAGCTGGCCACATACAGCTGGCCGCAATATTCAAATAGGGCTTTCAAACGCAAGATCATAACGTGAAGCAACTTGGAAGAATGGGTATGAATGCGAAGTGTATGGGGGAATGCCTGTAGGGCGATAGTGCGGGTTCGAATCCCAGGATATGCCTGAAAAAAAGAGGAGAATTGAAAAATTTATAACATCCCTATGCTTTTTTTGCCGTCATCAAGACGGTAGACGGTGTCGTATTACCCTCGATCGTACCTGTCCCGTACCTATCCCGTACCGTACCGTACCATCAAAGACGGCTGGCCACAATGCATATTCAAATAGGGCTTTCAAATGCAAGATCATAACGTGAATCAACTTGGAAGAATTAGTATGTATGCGAAGTGTATCGGGGGGATGCATGCAGGGCGCGCGATAGTGCGGGTTCGAATCCCAGGTTATGTCTTAAAAAAAAGGAATTTTTTAAAGAATTTATAACATCCCTATGCTTTTTTTGTCTAGGTCATCAATGCAAAAAAGCATATCGTAGGGCCCTGAGCTTCCAAGCTCTCTCGTTTAACCTCCTGACATATGTTTCGTCTATGGAGGGTTGATCAGAAAAGGTAAGTATTTGCGCAAGTGACACTGATTGCTGATTAACTACTTGTAGACTGAAGGGACTAAAGTTCACATAGAAGGTAGAATGATGTTTTGTTTGCTACTCGAGCGTCGCCAAAGTTTAAACAGAAAGATTACTTGCATCCCTGTCTGGTCTTAGATGAATACCTACAATGTACATAGTCAGCATGGCATACACTTTCATGACTGAAACTGTATGCCAGTACTTTCAAGTTTCCAAGTTGTGATATGAATATTGGACCAATGGGCTATCAACTATGTTCAGAGTGTCGGCTGAACCAGTTGGGCTATGAAAAAATCACAACGTCTATTGCTGCATACGCATGGCAGTAGTCATGGCAGTAGGCACAGCAGTGCTTTACATGTACATGTACATGTACTCAAGCTCAAACTCACTTCTACGTCATCCTCGCTGGTATCAGTCACTGTAGGAGAAGCACCTGACGTTGGTCGATGCGACTTGCACTTGTGGGTGTCATGTGGCAATGGCACTGCGCAGGGTTTACCGCATGAGAAAATGAATAGCTTGGACCTGCTGCAAGGTTCGCTGCATGTGTGTTTCTTGGGGTCCTCACCGCACGAGAACTTGCATGGTGTTGAATGGCATTGGCCGCCGATGGAACGCTGTGTAACCGTTTCAGTGCAGGTACCCCTACTGCCATCTGTTGTAGGGCAGCCAGGCAATGTACACTTCTTGGGGCAAGTGTGCTCTCCACAGTTGTGCAAACCATTACGGCGATGGAAGTGGTCCTTTTTGCATGTTGACTCACATATTCCTCCAACGCAGTTACCCGAGACCTTGCACTGCTGTTGTGGAAAGACTGCACCTGCTGAACACATCGAGCATTTCTCCAGTTGGCATTGATCAACACAGCGGTCATTTCCACAGTGATGGTGTTCATGTTGAGGGGTAGCAGGCTTCGTGCATGGAAATTTACCAGCACAACCTTTGCATGTTCCCCCGCACTTGTGTTCTCGTTGTTCACCGCCACAGGAGAATTGACAGACATGTTCGTCATTGGTCCATGGTTCTTTCATGAGTTCTCCACACGTACCCTTCTTGCCTTTGGTCATTACTCTAGGACACTGGCCGTTAAGAGTGCATTTCTTGTTACAGGTATGCGTCCCACAGTAGTGGTATTCACCATCACTTGGTTTGTGGAAGTGGTCAGTGCTTGCGCAGTCCGTTATACATTTTCGCATATTACATTGTCCAGACTTTCACTCGGCACCTTGGTGCTGGGTCCTGCTTTGTTTTGATTGCTCCACAATTAACACATTGCTTGATAACACATGTGTGACAGCAACGCTTCTCTCCACAGTCGTGCTCATTTCCTCCGTGACCAAACGGCTTTTCGCACACGTACTTGCGACAACCAGTGCAGATTACATCACATCTGTGTTCTCCGTCACAAGAAATGTCGCAATTGCCATCATGAGGCACATCCGCCAATGGTTTGGTGATTGGTGAACGACAACTGCCCGGTGTTCCATTCGGACACTGCCCAGCACCTGTGCATGGCCTTCTGCACTTGTGGTTCCCGCAGTTGTGTGGAATTTCACTGGACAACTCGTGGAAATGTTCTTCGGCCTTGCATGGTTTGCCACAATATTGCATGCTACACCTCTTGCTGTGGCCAGAAGCTGCCCTGCATGGATTTACAGGATTAGTGTTACCGCAGTTCTTGCGACTACATTGTTTCACACCACATGGAACTTTGCATTCCTTCTTCCCGCAGTCCTGAACATCGTGCTCTTTGTCCTCATCCTCACAACACCGTCTCCTGGCAGTTATTGTTTCCCTTGCATGGCTTGCCACAGGCATGACGGCCACCGCATTTGCAGCTACTTCCCTCCACAATATCATGACCGAGATCATGCAAACACTTCTGGTCACAAGTAGTTGTGCCAACACTGACTTGCGTGACGAATAGTGAAACCTTTCGAGGTACAGGGTGCTTGCACTTGTCATTACAACTGTGCCTTTCCTGGCACTTGAAGCGATGTCCGGGTTTCTTGCATTTGTTTGTGCTGATATACTCAAATATACCATTGTTCATTGATGGTGGCTTTCTTTCACTTGATGGATGGCGGTCGCGGTCTTGGTGCACTTGGGTCACTTCTTCTTCACAATAGGATTCCTGGCATACCTCACATTGTGCTCGGCAAAGGTGGAATTTGCTGGTGATGCCATCTTCCTCAGTGCAGGGATCTTCAACTCGGAGATACTTCCAGAATTCAGAATGCAGGACCACACTACCATTGGAGATGTGTCGATGGCGATCACCAGCTTTCTTGCAAACATCAGAGCAACTTATCGATGTTTGCGACTCAACCAGAGTGCTCACACTAGCTGGCTGTTCTGAGCTCAGCAGCTTAATCTGGTACTTTTCAGCATGATCTTGGTGAACTGTTCCATGGCCGGTACTGCAAACATCATGCCTGCTGGACTTCTTCGTGTCACAGCATTGAAGGCACCATGGGCAGGATTTACCACAGAGGTGATCCGAAGAATCTAGACCACATGTGTGTTTATCACCTACGTGCTGTGCACTGCCTGCGGGGATTTTCGTCGTGCACTTGCGTCGCCAACCATCCACAGTTCCCGGGTAGCGCATGCCTCCGTCGGGTTGCTCAGCTTGCTTGCAGCATGCCCCAGGGATGTTGCATGGTTTGATGCACACATGATTGCAGGCACACAAATGATGACCAGAAAGATGTCGGAATTTCTCTGTGCACAGCTTCCCACACTGCGGCTGTTCATGGAACTGGCATGGGGTTGCACAGAGATGTTCGTCTTTATCAGTACGGCACCAGCACTCGCCAGGGTGGCCTTGGAATAGATGGCATTCCTGCAGGCAGTTTCTTGCACCCTGGTAGATGCAGGGTCGTACGCACAGATGAATGGTCATCCTGTTTGCACACAAATGTCGCGGATCATTGTTGGTGGCGTCATGTTCATGCCCTGGCTGAAGGTCGCAGTATTCAAAGCACAGCTCACAATCTGCCCGACAGGCATGCTTGCCAGTAGGGTTATGCATATCCCAGTGGGTAAAGCAATCATGCTCACTGTCACCATGCTTCTTTGGATACAAGCACAGAAAATGACAGCCATGACTGCACTGCTCCTTGCACAAGCCTTTTGCCGCTTCCTCGAGACCATCCTCGTACTTCTTTATCTGTGTTTTTTGCGGTGCTGAACTAACAGACTCCTCCTTGTTGGTGCCACATTGCAGCCACTCCGCAACGGCCTGCTTTCTGAGGGTAAGAGACCTTTTGTGATCATCTTCAACAAGATCGGCCACCCTCTGGAAGAACGACGACTCTTCTCTGTATGCATTTCCTTGTTGGCCTTGCTGCTCATATCTCAACGCCCACTTTGTCTGCATGATAGCGTATGCACCCATCTTGGCTTGGCGCCTTTGCTGCTCATATGAAGGCGGAATAGGCACTTCACTCTCAGCATCACCCTCTGGCATGGAGAAATCATCTCCAGGAAGCTGACCAATCTCTCCACTGACAACGTCTTTGAATTGCGGAAGGGCGTCCAGCTGGAACATGAGGCACCTTTCCTCACAGAAGTTCTTCACTTCAGGGTGGAACATGAGGCACCTTTCCTCACAGAAGTTCTTCACTTCAGGGCAGTTGTAACCTTCATCATCCTCCTCAGATGGAATTTTTCCGAAGCGAGCTAGTTGGTCAAGCCTCCAGAGGAATTTTCGATTCCTATTCACCAAGAAGACACCAAAGTGGATGGTTTTGACTGTATGCCGTTTGATGGCCCTGGCAAGCAGCTGGATGCACGTCACAAAGCGGTGTGGATCTTTGTAGGATTTGTGGCAGAAACGCTGTGGATAGGAGAGGAGATTCATTGATTGGGCTTCGTATCCACTTGTAGCTGCCGGAACAATACCGGAGAAGAAGTTGCCTGCAAGGTCCTGGAGCTCTTTTGATCCTCTTATATCAGCAACAGCTTCTCTGCTCCTTTCCCCGCCAATAAGAAGACAAGCGGAGAGAATTTCCGGCTCAACTTTATTCTTCCTGTCAGAGTAGGGCACTAGGCCACAGTCAGCGGGAACAGCCTTTCGCAGGATGGAGTGCAGCAGCTGCATGTTCTGCACCCACGTGGCATGCTTGGCAGATGGCATGAGGCAAACATTGGATAATGCTACTGCTGCAAATACCAGAGCTGCAGCAGTCTTTCTCTCCTGAGCTTCATCCATTGTGAAGTTGAGAAGCAGGAAGATGTGTAGCAAGCCAGTTCCGTGTTGGAAGTGCCACATTCCGTGGAGAGAGTCTGCAGAATCTGCATCGGGAATAACTAGAAGTGGGGATCCAGAGAAGCGAGAGAGAAATCGCGTCACCGCTGGGTTATCATACTTTGCCAGAAGGGTGGTGACGTGAACGGACCCCTTCCAAGCATCTGTGATCCGTGCCAAATCCCCAAGTGAAATGGGGTCTGGGATTTCCTTATCAGCCGATGACGTGGGGCTTTCAGCATCTGGTTCTTCCACAGTTTTCAGACAAACTCCTTCAAACGGCTGTTGACTCCTTTGTGATTGATTGGTGCCTGTGTTTTCATTCATGGCTTGCGGCTGCTCTTGATATCCTTGCGGTTGTTGCTGACGGCTTGGTTCTTCGTGGCTTAATTGCACATCCTGCTTGTCGTGCTCATTGTCGTACTCCTTTTGCTGTTGTTGCTGCTGTTGCTGCTGTTGCTGATAGCTGTGTTCTCCGTGGCTTAATTGCTCCTCCTGCTCCTGCTCCTCCTTGTCGTACTCCTTGTGCTGTTGTTGCTGCTGCTGCCACTGCAGTTGTTCCAGATGTTGCTGTCCACCTTTTAGCTCCTGGGTAGTTTCTTGGTCCCTAAGTTGTTGATGTTGCTGCTGCTGCCCAGATACGTGCATCCGCTCCGTAGTAGACTGCATGTCTTCAGCACACTGCATTAGAACAGTAACATTCAAGCCCCAAGCGTCATGCAGCGACATTGGATTGACAAATGGATCTGGTTTAGACCTTGACTGTGCAGCCCTGCCAGCTGGAGACTTGCTGGACGTGTCCCTTGGCACCTCAGTTCCAAACAAGTGTTCGCTGTCGACGGATCTCAAGCAAAACATCTCCCATCTTTTCACGCTTGCGAGGTGTAGCAGTGGCAGCTGCGATGCTCCTTTCCAGGCACCCTGTGTTGTCGCTTGATCAGACGTGTCATTGCAGACTGAGGGATCAACGAAGCAGACATTGCTGAAGAGGGCCTTTACATACTTCAGGCATTGTTGGCGTAGATTACTCTCCACATACATGTTGACTGTCAAAACACAGTGCAGGCGAACTGGTTGGTGACAAAGGCTCATCCAACCGCCTGTCGGGAACTCGTTTAGCACGTGCGATAGTAGAGTCAGGACATCAACGCCTTGGGTGTTGAAACATTCAAACATGCCGTGTGGCCTGAATATCAAGCCCATCTGTGGGTCAGAGCCAGTTGTAGATGATTGTCCTTCGGCATGGGTGCCGTGTTGCAGCGAGAAAGCTTGGTTGGAGAGGAGATGCTCCTGCCCGTAGTACACAACCACGTGTAGAGACTTTCGTAGTGCCAACCTTAGCAAGTCAGCATGATGAAGATGGCTGTCACCGGGCAGCAAGCAGAGGATCATGTAAATCGGCAATTCATTGGCATCTTCCTTTTTGTGACTAGATGGGGTCAGGCAGTATAATCCTGAATGTTCGATGGTTGACAGTTCCGCAATGTTCCTTGGAGTTGCAATCTCCTGTCTTGTCAGAGCATCCAGCAGCGCATCCATGTTGCCAGTCAGAATCACAACCCTACTGGCCAGGCGTTGTTTCATGTAAATCTTGCCCTCATCTTCTCTTGAATCATACTGTTCCCCTGATGCAGCTGATCCAGTAGCACCCTTTGTGGCTGGGTCCTTGGCAGATACCGCTTGCTTTGGTCCTTTGGTGGAACCTTTTGTCACAAATTGATGACGAGTATCAAGCAACCTCAGATTCTTTAGGTCGAAAACAAGATTGCCACTGGTTTGTGGTGAGCCACCACCAGTACTTTCCAAATATGCCAGGCGGTACACCTCTTGGTCTGTAGATCACAGAGCACACAACAAAAAGGCAAAAACCCAGAGTTAACCGTAGTTTCCGGTAACCAAGTTATTGTTTTCTATATTTACAAGTAGTCTCGAAGAAAGTGTCTGCTCTGAACGTCGGAGCTCGCACTTCCTGCCGTCCGTGTGCTCCAGACGCAGCCGTGAGTCAGTCAAGTGTCAAGTCAGTCAGCAGGAAGCGCGAGCTCCGACGTTCGGAGCAGACACTCTCTTCATTACTAACCGCCGATGTCCCAACATCTTTCGTACAAGTAGTTTCATAGGTGCATCGGTTTGTTTGGTGTGTTGGAACAAGACCCGAAGGGCATCCATATTGGCACCGCATAGATTGAATATGACGCAGCCGGAAATGAAAGACCAGAGCCCGGAAAATTTTGGAGCAGCCATAATTATTATTGTTTTATGGATTGCAGCTACCTGGACAAAAGGGTCCTGAGAAATTTGAAATTCTTTGTGATAGCCGTTGTTTGCAACTCCTAAGCTGATGTCTAGAAGGTATCTTTTGTATAGTCTACTAGTACTAGTGACATGGGGATTGTATCTGACTAGAATCTGGGAAGTGGAAAACAATGTGACTGCTATCTGAATAACTACTTGAAGTGTGTAACTTCAACGGTATCTGAGAACTGCACTCATATCTCTCTTATCCGTACCTCGAAGTTATGATCACCTTGATCTACCGGGCACCCTGTGGGCAAACTGTAGTGGAAATATTACTACTCTTCTGCCCCTTTTTTGTTGAAATAGTGACGTTATATCCCAGATCGCTGGCCCTTACCCATCAAAATGTACCGTATCCCCCACTATAAACGTACACGTCTCCAATACTAGTATGTCTCCAATAGTAGTACATGTTGAGTGTGGATTGAAAGGTCGCGTCTCCATTAACCCAAAATAAGGCTACAGGTTATCGCATCCGGGCTCCGCACTCTTTATTTGGCATTGAAAAAGACGTATATAATTTTCATTGACGTATATATACGTCTTTAGCGCTAAATGGATTAAATAGTGTACATGCCAGAATCATGACATTGTGATGGGCATTACTGGGGTACATGTACCTGGATCCACCTTACTTAGTTTTTCTTACCCATAAAATTATCTTTGTGCCTGTCTACACTGCTTGGCACCCTAGCTGGAGTGCTATTACAGGCATCTACAGCTGTAAAGTATCATTTCATGAGTGGAATGACACCCATGGCAGGCAATCAATCTTGCCAGAATCAATAAAGGTGGAGTCTCTAGTCTGTATCACAGATCTGGCCACCTTTGAAAAAAAATGGTACAGTCAACCTCGCTTATAACGACATTCGGCGGGGCATCAAAAAAAAGTGTCCTTATTCGCGAAGTGTCGTTATACCCGAAGTCTCATTATATGTATTACAGTTGGAAGGGACTTTGCTCTGGGCATGGAAATGCTGTCGTTATTCGTGAATTGTCGTTATATCCGCAGTCGTTATTAGCCAAGTTGACTGTACATTTAAAATAGAAGAAATCACATGGAAACGTGTTATGAAGCAACTCACTGGAACAAGATACCGTACTCGCGCGATTAGAGCCCTCTCTTGAATAGTGCCCTATCTCGAATAGTGCCCCAGTCTCCAAGAGCCAATGAAAAAATAAAGCCCTCTCTTGAATAGTGCCCCCCCCCCCCGCCCCCGCCCGTCGCGCTTGTAACCAAACGCATGTCCAGGTTTGGTGTTCTTTTGCTAATGCTCTTGTCCATGTCATTGCACGGGTGGTTTCAGGATCAAAATCGCAGTTCTTGTTGCCATTTCTGTCAAGTTGTGATAGTTTACAGTACACTTTAGGCTGGATGACATAAATGTACGAACATTGAAAAAATAGTGCCCTCTCTTATTATTTATTTTATTTATTTTATTTTTTACAGCATCTCATAGCACAGTGAGAACACCGGCCAATACAAAGAGAGAGAGGGTGTTAGCCAACCACGGCAAGGAAGGGAGAAGGGGAGGAGAAAAAAAAGGAACCGGCATGGATAAGTAGTGATTGCAACAAAATGAGAAACACAAAATCAAAGTCAAGGCGCGACAAGGCTCTTAAAAAGGCGGAGGGAAGAAAGGTCCTTAGCTTCTTGGGGAAGTGCCAGCCACGCAGAGTACGCAGTGAAAAGGAGAGAGTGAAGTAGAAAGGAGGACTTGGGTTTCGGAAGGGAAAGGGAGTTTCTCGTGCTACGGGAAGAAAACCAGTTGAAACAGTGGAGGTGAGGTGGACACAGATTGAGTTTGAGAGAATGGATAAGGGTGACAAGATGTGAATTACGTCTCTTAGACAAAGGGGTAGTGTCAGCAAGGGCATAAAGGGTGGAAGATGGGAGCATGCGGGGTTTTCGGAGGAGGATTTTTAGAACTTTTTTGTGCTGAATTTCGAGCTTGGCAGCACGGGTTGTGGAAATCCCAGCCCAAGCAGTATCTGCATAATCAAAAATGGGGCGTAGGTAAGCTGAGTAAAAGAGGAGTTTACAAGAGATTGGGAGATGGTAACAGTGAGAAGAGAGGATTCCTAAAGATGAACTTGATCGTTTACATATGTAATCGATGTGGGGTTCCCATGAAAGATTAGAGTCAATGAAAATACCAAGATGCTTATAGCTGGAGACTATGTCTATAGGCTGGGGGAAAGTGGGATGGAGGAGGGGCGGAACATCAGGCTGAGAAGGAAAGAGCATGATTTTAGTTTTAGACAGATTGGGCGATAACCGCCAAGACGACATCCAGGAAATTACTCTTTGAATCCCGTTAGCTAGGTTACTCATCAGGCCAGTGATGTTAGGAGATGCCCGTAGGAGCGTTGTGTCGTCTGCGAATAGTGATGTGCCCGGGGCAGCTGCAGGCAGATCATTGACGTATAAGATAAAAAGAAGGGGGCCGAGGATGGAACCCTGGGGAACTCCGGATAGTACTGTTGTGTCGGCTGAGGACGTCCCATGTACCGTGACGTACTGCGTTCACCCAGTTAGGTAAGATGTCAGCCATAGCAGGGGATTGCCGTCTACAGTAAATGATCCACGAAGCTTGGCCAAGAGCCCCCGGTGCCAGACGGTATCGAAGGCCTTGGCAAGATCGAAAAAACAGATCCCGACTAGATCTCCAGCATCCCGATGTCGACACACTAATTGCACCAGACACGTCAGCTGGAGGGTGGTAGAATCGCCTCTGCGAAATCCGGACTGAGCTGAACTCAAACGTGATGAGACATGACAGTACAATTGGTCGTAGAAAACGCGCTCACAGAGTTTGGAAACACAGGACAGTAGAGATATCGGACGGTAGTTTGATGCTTCGTGGCGGGACCCTTTCTTGTAGATCGGTATAACATTAGCTGTTTTCCATGCAGAGGGAAAACGACCAGTGCGGAATGATAGGTTGAAAATCAGACATAAGGGGTATGCTATTGAGGGCGCAAGGGACTTTAATACCAGATTAGTGATGCCGTCTGGGCCTGGCGCCTTGTCAGACGGGAGCTTTCGAATGTAACTTCGGATGGCAGCAGTCGTAGTAAAGACAGATGTGAGGCGGTCAGCCTCACCCAACTCCTCGGCAATGGGGGGAATGGGTAGAAAAGGGTCATCAGGCACGGCCACTGAGGCGAACTGAGAGTTCAATGCAGTGGCGTTAGCTGAAGAGGTAGTAGCCTGCTGCGTAGAACTAACGGTGAGTGTCGGGATGGCACGAGATACTTTATGATTTTTTAATTTGCTCACGAACTGAAACAGTGATGGGCGGTTTTTGTCCTGCAGCGTAGCTTGTACGGACCGAATGTATCCCCGGTATTTCGATCGAGTCAGACTCTTCACCAAGTTCCGTTGAGATCGATATACATGCATGTTAAGCTGGGTTGGGTATTTCTTACACACACTGTAGAAATCGTGCTTTGCCTTAATGGCGGCACGGAGGGGGGCATCAACCCAAGGTGGCTGACCTAAACGTCGGCATGAGGGGGAGAGTGGACGCCGGGAGAAGTACCCGAGGTGCTTCTCCATGGCCCTGCTAAGAATAGAGTGGAAAGACAAAAGAGCGTCATCCACGTGCGAGCTGCGGGGGTGACATTTCCAGTGGACATCAGCAAGTTCAGCATTCAGGTCATCCCATACGCAACGTGGCACCAACTTGAAATTATAACCTGGGGGGTGTAGGGGTAGATGTTGGGAGGAAGTGATGTTGTAGGGTTGGATTTTTGGACGTGACAGGGAGACGGACTCGACAGATGAGCTGCACGTGGTCAGAGCTACCCAGTGGAGCGGCTGAATCAGCGGAGAGGAACTGCTGGGGTGAATTTGTGACGATGAGGTCCAAGCAAGATGACCGGCCACTTGGGCTCCAGTGCATAGGGAAGTTGACCAGTTGCTCTAATCCGAAGCACCTGAAGGCGGTTTCAAGGCACTGACCCACCAGGGTTGTCCGATTACCAGCCAACCAGCTCGAGTTATGGGCATTGAAGTCACCGGTGAGGAGTAGTGTGGATACAGGTAGATTAAGTGACAGAAGGCAGTCTTCCAGACCATCAGAATATGCCTGGATATCCGCCAGGGTACCACCAGGAGGTCGGTAGGTGGCGCAGACTATGAGTGGACGTTGGGGTGAGTTGGCTGTGCGAAGCTCAAGCCAGATGGCCTCCAAGCCCGGTTGCTGAAGATTCGCCAGAGGCTTCACTGATGTAAAGGAGCCATCTTTCACCAGTATGGCTACCCCACCATAACCTCTGGTAGGATTGGCCGATCGAATATTAGAGGTGGGACGATCCCGTCGATGAACTGTGTAGCCTGCCAATGAGAAGAGGTTGGCAGGAGACAACCATGTTTCACACAAACATATAACCTCCGGAGAGTAGATGTTGCACATAACAGTGAGTTCCGCTACTTTGTTGACCACTGAGCGGCAGTTGAGGGAAAGGATGGTAAGGGCAGTATGGATGGGAGGATAAAAGGGACGGGCCAGTGGATTCAGTGTTCCAGTAGTGTGGGGGAAGACAAGGTTACTATTCATTGTGAGAGATATTGTCCGGTGGGCTGGTCAGAATAGAAACGCCATTCCCTCACGGTATGACCCATTGTGTTTGGCCAGAAGGTGTGCCGGCATACAGTATCGGCATCCTTACCCTCGACAGTCACTCTGGCGGAGGCAGTTCGAAAATACTCGGAGGAGTATATTAAGCACTGCACTATTTCAACACCGCGTTCCCTGCACCAGTCTGCTATACTCGCTGCCTCACAACCAAACGGAATATCTCCCAAGTAGAAGACCTTTCGCGGACTGCGGGGTGCAACATCCAGAGACGGAACTGAACCAGGGACATTCTGGTTCGGTTTGGCGTAACGTGATGATACCTGGCGACGGATGGGATTTCTTTGTGGTGCTTCTTCCTTTGCCTGTTTGTTTGCAGGGAGTCCAACCTCTTCTATTTCAGTTGAATAGTGCCCTCTCTTGAATAGTGCCCCATCTGTGATGGACATTGAAAAAATAGTGCCCCGGCCCCCAGGGGCACTAATCGCACGAGTACGGTATTTTAATTCTATTTACTGGCTCAGTATCCGAGTATAGAAGTTATGGGCAGTGCCCAGCCCCAGACTGCCCGGACATGAGAGATAGGAGTGTACTTGCAGTGTGTGACTGGTATCTAAGAAGTTGTGACTGTGTGACTGATGAGCCCGTGACTGGAATTAGTGCGCTTTAACCCTTTGGTGCGGGTAGGTCGATTTTCACCTATGCCGACAGTACATACGAAAAAACATCGCAGAGCCGGTCTTGTACACCTCAGATGCCTGATTTTGTTTACAGAGACCCATTAGCGAATGAAGTTGAAGACACCACTGCAGCTGTACTTATGGCTGATAAATATGGTGGTAAAGACACACCTGGCAATATGGCGGTAAACACACGCCTGCCCACACACGCTCTCTAGGCTGCAAAGTTCTGGCACAGAGCTCTCCTTCTCACCACCACCACCATCAGTTCGCGCCTGGCGCCTGGTTGATGCATGGTTGGCGGTATCCGGCATAGCAGGCTGGTACATCACGTAGTGCATGGCACATAGAAGATGACACAGCAACAACATAGCTCGATTGCGACGTACGTTTCGACCCCGCTGGACTCATCAGGCAATCTTCTTCTTGGATGTCTTCATATGGAGCTTGACTCGGGCGAATGAAGTTGAAGACACCACTGCAGCTGTACTTATGGCTGATAAATATGGTGGTAAAGACACACCTGGCAATATGGCGGTAAACACACGCCTGCCCACACACGCTCTCTAGGCTGCAAAGTTCTGGCACAGAGCTCTCCTTCTCACCACCACCATCATCAGTTCGCATGCATCGACCAGGCGCCAGGCGCGAACTGATGGTGGTGGTGGTGAGAAGGAGAGCTCTGTGCCAGAACTTTGCAGCCTAGAGAGCGTGTGTGGGCAGGCGTGTGTTTACCGCCATATTGCCAGGTGTGTCTTTACCACCATATTTATCAGCCATAAGTACAGCTGCAGTGGTGTCTTCAACTTCATTCGCCCGAGTCAAGCTCCGTATGAAGACATCCAAGAAGAAGATTGCCTGATGAGTCCAGCGGGGACGAAACGTACGTCGCAATCGTGCTATGTCGTTGCTGTGTCATCTTCTATGTGCCATGCACTACTTGATGTACCAGCCTGCTATGCCGGATACCGCCAACCATGCATCGACCAGGCGCCAGGCGCGAACTGATGGTGGTGGTGGTGAGAAGGAGAGCTCTGTGCCAGAACTTTGCAGCCTAGAGAGCGTGTGTGGGCAGGCGTGTGTTTACCGCCATATTGCCAGCTGTGTCTTTACCACCATATTTATCAGCCATAAGTACAGCTGCAGTGGTGTCTTCAACTTCATTCGCCCGAGTCAAGCTCCGTATAAGGACATCCAAGAAGAAGATTGCCTGATGAGTCCAGCGGGGACGAAACGTACGTCGCAATCGTGCTATGTCGTTGCTGTGTCATCTTCTATGTGCCATGCACTACTTGATGTACCAGCCTGCTATGCCGGATACCGCCAACCATGCATCGACCAGGCGCCAGGCGTGAACTGATGGTGGTGGTGGTGAGAAGGAGAGCTCTGTGCCAGAACTTTGCAGCCTAGAGAGCGTGTGTGGGCAGGCGTGTGTTTACCGCCATATTGCCAGGTGTGTCTTTACCACCATATTTATCAGCCGAGACCCATTAGCTACCATAGTAACGCACATATAGGTGCACACGCCTGTATTCGAATATAAGCGCACTCTCATTTATAAGCGCATGCTCTTATACTAAGTTATAGGCGAAGCACCACCAAAATTCTCACTTTGAAACAATCATGGATAAAAGTCTGCAAACAGCATACGGGAACCATGAAACTGACATGACAAGACCTACTTCGTAGTCAAACACAAAGACTCGGGCAAACGAACTCTGATCGCGCATGCGCAATTATGTGAAAACATTTTAAATAATTATTAATTTTCATTTTTGAAAATTGGATTTGTAGCAAAATTTCACTTATAAGCGCATGTGCTTATATGTGCGTTATTATGGTAGGCCTAAAGGTAAACTCTGACACAAATAATTATATGGAGGGGAGTCAGCCTTGCTTACCAGGCTTCTCATACGGCTCATTCAGCCCCTCACACTCGGACGACTCACACAGCCTTGGCTCACTCAGCCTCACAATACGGCAGTTTCTCAGCCTCCGCAGCAGGGCCTTGCCCAGCTGCCATACGCACATATTCACACAGCTCTAAGCGGTCAATCCGGGCACTCGGAGCATGGCAAAGCAATTGACAAACCCTCCTATTCCCCAAACTGGTTGCTCCTTGAGTGAGGGTGGCATGCAGATGCTTGTGCGAAATTCAAGTTTTCGGATCGATGCGATAGCCGCGATTTCTGTAGGAAGTGTGAGCTCCATTCAGGAGCACTGCCTAACTCTGGCAATACTCAGTGGTGCACAGAAAAAATTGACCAGACAGCCCTCAGATGCAGGGCAGGTGGACGATGATCTTCAATGAACCCGGTTGACTTGACCAAATAGGGAGTTTGTTTAAATAGATCTTACAAATGTATGGCTTACCGTATGTGCTGGTGCCCACATGTTGGGATGATGCATCCTTCAACCTCTTGTAAATATCCTCTTGGCCTACCACAATATGTTCCTTGAGGATTTCCACAAAAATCTGAAATGACTGTCCATTGCCAGCTTCCAGCATGGAGATGAGATGCTCCAGTTGAATTTGAGGATTCGTTATAGACCGTAGCGTGACACTCTGGCTCCTGGAGACCAGTTCCTTGGACATGCAGTCACTTCTCAGTATGTCACAGTCGTTATACATCCTGTCCCTGACGTCACGCAGGACCAGCTTCACTTGTGGATCAGCCCACACTGACATGATTGCTGTGGGGATGATCAGGTATTGGTCTGTGATGCACCCACAGAACCATGCGCACGCATGCAAGATAGAACACAAGCATAAGTAATGCTGTCAGCGAGTGTGTATGGCATTACTGGGGAAGTGCAAGAAAATGGACGTGTTCCAACAGCAATGCTCGGAAACTTATCATTCAACTCAAAAATATCAAGGTAGTAACGGCAGGTGGATACACATGGTCGTATGTAGGATACGGTTAAAGTTAAACACAAGAACTAGCAGTGTATTCCCATCGCTGCCAACGCCTCCAAATGTGAAATTCTGTATAAAAAAATAATATAAATATTTTTTTTTTAACCGAGCGCTGCCAAATGACCAGGCGTTCCGCTGCCACATTCAGTTCTGTGGATGCAGAACTATGGCTGATTAATATAAAGAGAAAGAGGGCCAGTGTGGTTTCGTCATGACAAACAGGGCCTCTTTCTCTTCCTCGTTTGAAACGCTCTGCACTTTGGGCAATTTTCCAAAACTATACAGTAACACCGAGCACCGAACAATGGGGGCAACTGCTTCAGGCCAGCTAGCGATGGTCCTGTTCAAGATTCCAGCATCTTTGTTCTTGTTCTGTGCTTGTTCATTCACTGAGCACAAGTACAATATACATGAACACTGTGCATGCACTGTTACATGAAACACACACACACACTGGCGCGCCCACTGTATCTTTGCTTCCAGGCTGGCCTGTTCATTTCGGTGGCATTTTAGCCTGTATTTCGGCCCATTCTTCGGCGCCAATGTTTTAAAAAAATCTAGAGGTCAAGTACACGCATATAGATCACAGCACTGGCTTACCCTTGTTGGTTGATAGTTATAATGCACACAATGTTCTTGTCACCACCAGGACTTCGCATGACATAGTGTCCGTGTCATGTTGCTGCAGTTGTATGGAATGTGAACAGAAAAAGAACATGGCAATGTGATAGAGGGGATGGATGCTTGGCTTACATTCCTTTTCAACAAAACAAATTCACGGTTCGCTTGAGACTAAGTTGGACTGAGTTTTCAGCATCCTTAGGAACACCGCCACCACCCTGTAAAGATCAAAGGCGCAAGTGCAGCTCCTAAAGCGGTGGGATGTGACTAGATCAGCCAACCAGCAAAGCAAAGTGGTCAAAGACCAAAAATCCCATTCGTTGCATCCATGTTTCCCTCATGACAGGCCACGAGTTCCCAATGAACTGTGGGTCGCAGTACGGTTGGAAAAATCCTTCCGCTTCCAAGCAGGACTTGAACATGATACCCTCTGTTTCTCAATCATGGTCTCAGACCATCCCACTATGCCTGCCTGTACCATTTCAAAGATATCGGTTATTTTACTCAATACTCCACAAACACAGCGTTCATTACGGTACAGGTGTTGGCAGCCACATTGGCAAGAGCCATGCCATATCACCCATAGCCAGCCATGCACCCCCCCCCCCTCCTTAGCAACAGTTCCCTAGCAATGGAGAAACTTAGCCTAGCGGATGTATGCATTATTAATATGACAACTTACCCCGGCGCAATGCAGTTCACAATAATATGAAGGTCGGATTTCCCCAGGATGCTTCCTCTTGCTTTGGCCAGTGCAGTGCGACTACTCTGTTTCGATCCGTTTTGATGCTTTGACAATATTGGACTGATTTCAAGCCTGTCTGAACCTTCAGCAGACTGCAGGGGAAACGGGACCTGCTTCTGTGGCTAGTCCGTGAATGGCAACAATGAGATCTGACGAATCGGTCAGCGAAGGGGGATGCAGGGATAGACTGTTCAGGGACACTGGGTAGCAGCACCCTGTCCAGCTCGTCAGTCACTACTATCCACCAGGAACGCCAATGCCAGTGCCCGTTGTATGTGCCTCTTGGTTGCTCGGTAGTTGCAAAAGCGAGAGAAGGATATGTAGCAGGTCTACTTGGAGCTACAATACTACCGTGAGTACAATACTAGACGAGGCTGAGAGCTGCTGCCCGGTGGTAACAGGTGAATGCTCGTTTGTAGCAGGTGAATACCCGAAACAGGTGAATGTAAAACTGATGCGGAAATCAGCTTTACGACTGTGCAAGGCAATGTAGGTTCGGCTTCTGTCCTCGCTGAAGGCAGGCGATAATCCCGGATCGAGCGTGCCGGGCTAGCTTCAGCGGTGCGTGGGATCCAGCACACGAGAACCTAGAACAATGATTATGTAGCCCTTGCAGCGCGGGTAGATCAATGGAGGAGTACCAGCCACCGTCAAGTGCAGTGGCAACACGGGTAAGGTTAGTAGTAGTCCGCCTCGCGTCTATCTTCCACAACGTGACCCAGAAGTGAACTGAAATCTTTCTTCACCGACCACACAGTATTATAGAATCTCTCTACCACCTGCTCGAGTGCACGCCAGGTTGCACTCCGCGGCTTTTGCTCGAAGAGCGAGCGAAGGCTACTGTATCCGTCTCGGGCCAATCTCTGGAATCGATCGAGTCCCTCTGCGGTGACTCGTAGTTTAGCTTCGACGACTTTGCTCGCGATCAATGCAGCCTGCTGGGCACGGTACAGTCATAACCCTGGTATTGGTCACCAACCGGAGCCCTTGTGAATAGTTCTCTACGCAGGGGCGTCACCCGTGATGGGCACGGGGGCACGTGCACCCCCCCCCCCTTCTAATTAAGGTACGCTTTCCAACGCCGGCAACGGCCAAAGACAGTTGGAAAGCTTGTGTTTTGTTTTTTTCTATGTTTCTCGTCACCGCCCGCGTAGGTTTTCAGAAATTTCGGAAGAAAAAAAGGAGTTCATACTTGTACATGTACATGTATATACGTATGTACGCTGCACATGCTGCAGCTAGCAGCTACATGTAGATGCGTCAATCAAAATCGTAAACGTTTACACCACAGCGGCAAAGTAGAGCTCCCTGTCCGAGTGTCCGTTCTCTGCGATGAAGGCTGGCGTAACGAAGCTTTCCGTCGTTCACTGCCTGAGCCTCGCGGGTCCCAGGAATACCGTAAATCGGACGAGTTCCGTGGCAACTGGCGTCTGTGGAACGGTGTCGTGGGCAGAAAATCCAAGCAATAGACGCATGGCGAGGAAAAGATGAGCAGCGTGGAGACAAGAGTTTGATAGGCGGACACAAACACGTTGAATCAACCAAAAATGACGAGTGGGAAAGCGTTTGTTGATGCGATAGCAGATAAATGTACATGACTGTATGTTCTCTTCGCCATCTCGTAATGAAACTAACTTTATGCTCTCAATGTCGCAGTTTGGCTGATATTCGTGGGCCGATGTGATAATGTAGTGCAATCATGTACTATGGGACAACAATGTACATGATTGTACTGAAGTAAAATCATGTACATGATTGTACTGAAGTAAAATCATGTCATGATTTTACTTCAGTACAATCATGTACAATGTAAAATGTAGCACTATACGCAGTATACGCAGTGTCTTGTATGAATCACACATACACAATATTATACAGTTTTCAGTAGAAATTGTTCTTGTTTTTTTCTTGGCTTTTGTTTCTTTTCCGCCCGCCCGCATACCTTTTGTTACATTTTGCCGACGAGAAACATAGAAAAAACAAAGTGTGGCCTAACTAATTACTTGAACATTTGGGCTAATGCAAAATCGCAGCGATTTTGGGATTTCCCCACAACTTTTTGCGTCAGCAAAAATGTTGTGCTGGACCGCATTCCTAGATCCTGTCACTTCGCAGTGGCTTTTCGTTGGTGCAGTTTGTATCCCACCCCCCCCCCCCTGACTTCTGGGTGTGTGTTTATCGATATAATTATCTTATTGGTTTTCTTATTGGCCATGTGGCTGTTGCAGTTACGACTGCTTTTCTTTTTTAGTTAAAAAACGTAGGGGTGGTGTGTGCGTCGTGGGCCATTGTATGGTTACATACAGCTTCAGATTGTATGGCTAGTGACAGGGGGGTTGAGTCTGCAGGGGAAGAATACAGTGATTGAACTGAAGCTGGATGATGACCGTGTGGTGAGTGTGTGGGGGTTTCGAGATGCCGTCCTGGGGCAGGGATGTCGGTCCTTTAGCTTGGACGGGTGTTGTTACATTCTTTGTAATATGTTGTCGTTTTCTGTGTGTTTTGCTGTGCGACTACAGTAGCAGCAGTGTCTTGTGCTTATTTTTTTCTTATTAGGCCCTATGCGTACAATTATTCAAGAAAAAAAATCAGGAAGGAAATATAATAATATCAATAATAAACAATCGACGAGGAGACAATAGTCGTAAAATGGCAATAAATAAGATAAATTGTGCACTCATAACAACAGCAAAAATGAAGAAAGTCAAGTTCCATAACGTTTTCTTGTGACTGTCATCAGTGGAACGCCGTCACATAAAAATGTAATAACTAAAACACACACTTATATACATGTAGCTAATATGGTTTCAGGTAGAAATACAGCAGCTAACAGGTACAAAAAGGAAGTTTGCACCTTTGCAATGTGTGAATATAGTGTATGTGAGAAAGGTAGTGGCAGATGAATGTGATACTGTGTGAATGAATGTAATGGTGCGTGTGTATTACTTGAAGAGTGTGAGTGATACAACGTTTTCTTTCTGTTTACATAGCACAGGGTCACGAGTACGAATATACACAGCTTCCAACACCTGCAATTGCTTGAAGAAACGTGCGCAACGAATAACACTAAACCAGGAATCGTCAAACACCTTACGACATTCTGGACTGGACACCAAATGTTGCTACACGGTAAGAGCGGAAGGGGAACAACTTGAAACAGAGCAGAACCGAGGAGAAGCAAGAGACTAGCAGAGGCACGACTGAGACAAGTGGAGAACACAAGGCAAGGAGACGCAGGAGGAAGCACAGGCACGGCACAGAACGAATCAAGGAAAGGGAAGCGGTGTCGCGAGGAGATGGAGACTGATGACGACGAATACGAGTGCGATGGGATGGACAGGCGGCATTGGAATGGAGGTGGAGGATGAGAGTAGTGATGAGGAGGAGTTTGATGTTGACAAGAGGAAGTCTGCAGTGTACAAGCATTTGGTGTCCAGTCCAGAATGTCGTAAGGTGTTTGACGATTCCTGGTTTAGTGTTATTCGTTGCGCACGTTTCTTCAAGCAATTGCAGGTGTTGGAAGCTGTGTATATTCGTACTCGTGACCCTGTGCTATGTAAACAGAAAGAAAACGTTGTATCACTCACACTCTTCAAGTAATACACACGCACCATTACATTCATTCACACAGTATCACATTCATCTGCCACTACCTTTCTCACATACACTATATTCACACATTGCAAAGGTGCAAACTTCCCTTTTTGTACCTGTTAGCTGCTGTATTTCTACCTGAAACCATATTAGCTACATGTATATAAGTGTGTGTTTTAGTTATTACATTTTTATGTGACGGCGTTCCACTGATGACAGTCACAAGAAAACGTTATGGAACTTGACTTTCTTCATTTTTGCTGTTGTTATGAGTGCACAATTTATCTTATTTATTGCCATATCAATAATAAAATAATTATAAAGCCATTGCCGAGCCACCGTGCTCACAGCAGAGACTTTTGTGTGTGTTATTGTTGTGAAGTGGACCACAAAGACTTCGACTTTGGTTTTTTGCGAGCTCCTGGTTATGAAAAGTGTAGTGCTCTGTCCCGCCCCGGGGAAAATTCCGGAAAAAAATCGCAAAAAACGCGGGGAAAAACGCGGCATAATATGGCATAGTTGCGGTGAATTTGCGGTAAATATGCGGTAAATATGCGGTGAATAATATTGATGTGCGGCAATTTTCAGTGAGTATGAAGTGAAATCAATCAGTTACAAAAAATACAAGTCTCTGGTGTAAGCACTCGTCATATTAATTTGAGTTAAAAAAACCGCCACGATGAGACGTTGCTGACCGAACAGTGCACTGGTGTACGTGTAGTGCAACAAAAAAGTTCAAAAAACGCGGGAAAATCGCGGAAAACGCGGTCTTTTAAAAAATGGCAAAAGACACGGAAAAAACGCGGCCGAGGAATCGCAATTTTCCCCGGGGACAGAGTGCTGGTACTGCATGCACTAAAACTAGTTGTACCAGGGAGTCGTATTATTGATTGATTGATTTATATTTCACGGATCCTCCAGAGGCAAATAGATGCCTATCGAAGGGAGTCTCCTAAGTATGGAAAATGAGAAAGTATGTTCGTAAGGGAGAAGAGGTAGAAGATACATTAGAATATAGAGTACAGAAGAAGTAAATTCAGTACTTCGGGTAGTACATTGCATGCTAATCATGATGAGAATTAGAAAAGCAGCATTGCGGACTACTATAACTGACATATACACAAACTATTGAAACTATCATAGATGTGGTTAGCCTAGACACAAAAGTCAGGAATACCTTTCAAAGAAAACATAGATTGCGAATGATACCGACGAACAGCAATACTAAATTTCGCTGTTGTAGAGAGTGAACGAATATCTTCAGGAAGTTTATTCCAGGCAACACTCAAAGAAAAAAGGGTTGATTTACGAAAGAAGGTGCCAGCTTTAGGAAGAATTATGGATGAAGGGTGACGACTGCTTTGGGAAGAGGGTAGCTGGAAGTGAGACAACAAGGAGGGGTATTGGGAGAATACATGGTGGAAATAGACAAGGCCAAGAATCTGCCGTCGCCATGCTAAAGATTCCCAAGAGGACAGAACATTGAGGTCTTCTTTGGAAGTCGTCCAGTCAGGCCGACGCTTGAGTTTACTATTTAGGTATGCTCTAGCAGCAGTAGCCTGCAGTTTATCAAGGGTTGTGGACATGGTGGCTGAAACGGAAAACATCCAAACGGGAACAGCATATTCAAGGAGGGGACGAACATAACATTTATACAAAAGATTGACAGCAGGAAAAGGAAGGAAGTTGGACATGTGGTTTAAAAGAAAAACCCGACCTCGAAATTTGCTGGTAATGTGTTGAATATGGGGGGACAGATTGAGTGAAGGAGTGAGGATGATGCCCAGATGGCGGT